TTGGATTGTATTTATTTACGTTTTGGTTTATATATTTGTGACATAAAACAAACATGTGATGGCCATGTTTAACAAAACAAATGGTCACTGGTCCCTTATAAAAAATCATTGTCACCTCCGTTATATTGCACGAAACGTCTTCAATGAGAGATGGCTTAAAGATGACTGTGTTGCCAAACTGGAAATCCTAACTCACGTAGGAACACATATTAATTTGCACAAAGTTGTGGGAAATATATTTCAATTATATATATTAATAAATATATTATAAACTTCAATAGTATACTTCAATAGTAACTGTGTCCTGGCTCATTGTTGTTTATGTGAACCTTGTGAGAAAAAATGCTGGAAGAAAACATGCATGACCAGCATTTGATATTGGTTGTATTTGAATACCTTCTGGAAATATCAAGACTTTTAGTATACCCCCATTCCATTGGAAATCTTGATGCAATGGTCAACACCACCCCCTATCCTCTTGAATTTCCGATCTCTTCTGTAGCAGGGTGGGGGGGGGGGATGGCTATTTCCTGGAACTATGCAATTTGACTGAGTCATGTAGGAGTAATTTTTGGCATTACGCATTCCCTCAAAAGGCAACTCCCAGACATATTTGCATGTTTTTCTTTAAAAAGAATGACTACCAGGTAGGTTGGTGAGAAAAAGAGCACTCCCTACTCTGGCGATGAGTGGTAAGAAATTCTCATCAGCCAGGGGCAGCCAAACTGATACAATGTCATGATCTGAGTATCATATTCTGAATTTAGTAATGTTTGAATCCCTGTAAAGGTGAGCAAGGTACTGAAATATCCTGTCATGTGAACAAGAAAACTTGAAAAGCCTATAGCTAAGTTATATGTAAGCCAAACAAGGATCTTGTATTATGAATCCTGGTGTTTTTGTGCAGAACACAGCTCACAAATAACATGATAGTTTTTGGATTACTAAATTTTAAAACTGTCATGTTAATATATAAATTTTCTTTTTGAAAGTATGTTTCTTAGGGCAGTTGCATATCAAGTAGTGAAGCTTGTGTGGAGCTGTATACCAACAGTTCAAGAAGGTACCCCCTTCCTTGCTGTGCATATGCCAAGATACGGTTTCTGTCTTGTTTATGTGAACAATGAACATTTTGCCGAGATATTTTTAAAACACCGACATCATGCTTGAAAGTATGATAGTAGTAAAAAACTGTTTAGAATTTCCATAGGGGTGGGGGAAACAAGCTGTCAGTGACAATTAGAAAAATCCACAGGGGTGGGGGTTCATAATTAACTAAATCTCTTCCATTAGCAGGAAGTTTTAACACCCAATGTTTCAAACAACCAATATCAAATGCTGGATGCTCAGTTTAATAAGCAGCAGTCATGCATGTTTTCTTCCAGCATTTTTTCTTACAAGGTTCACATAAACAACAATGAGCCAGGACACAGTTACCACATTTATACCTATGGATCATTAATATATTAAAGTATACTATTGAAGTATATAATATATTTATTAATATATATAATTGAAATATATTTCCCACAACTTTGTGCAAATTAATATGTTTTCTTACGTGAGTTAGGATTTCCAATTTGGCAACACAGTCATCTTTAAGCCATCTCTCACTGAAGACGTTTCGTGCAATATAACGGAGGTGACAATGATTTTTTATAAGGAGACCAGTGACCATTTGTTTTGTTAAACATGGCCATCGCATGTTTGTTTTATGTCACAAATATATAAACCAAAACGTAAATAAATACAATCCAAAACGTACCAGGTGCCCGTTAAGGTTTCCACAGACAATTCAGCAGACAGTGTTTGCTGCTCTTGCTCTCTCTCAGTTATAGTACTTTTCGTTTCAGTGGCAAGAGCTTCGACTGAAGTATCATAGGCCTCGCACAAATCCACACTTTTCTCCATATTTACATCACCCCCGCTATCACAAGAAACGTCTTCGGCAAAAGAGAGTTCGCAAGATGATTGTGTTGCAAAATTTGAGCTGTGGCTTTCGTCAGAAGACATAATTTTGAACAAAAAACAGCCTAGAATAAGCCTTTGATACTAGTATAACAAAAAGTTAGTGAAATTGCTGCCGTAGGTGTATTCGCGTTGCGAACAAGTTAGCGCTTAACTTTGATTACCTTGTTTGACATGGAGGCCTGGTTACCAATCGCGTCTCAACGTCAGTGTTACATGACCGTAATGGCGTAATCAAAATGACGCCATGGTGCTAGCCAGTGTGCTGAGAGGCATTCACCCCCTGATAATATTCAAAATGGTGGACCTCCATAAGCGCACTGGGTAGGACCATGGCGTCAGCATTTTGATGATGAATCATGTGGCAGCCAGGGGCGTAACGTTATATCAGGGGGCCCCCGGTTCAAAATTTTCGAAGCCCCCCCCCCCTAGTAGAAGTGCCAGTTGAACGCCATATATGCACAAGTTTTCTAGGGGTCCAGGGCATGCTCAGCCGGAAAATGTTTGAATCTAGAGTCTCTGAAATGCCATTTCCCGGACCAAAGGGAGAGATTTTACAGAATTCTGATGGTCAGAAAACGACATTGTGACATATCAGAGGCCGGCCTGGCCAACGTTTTTGCTCTACAGCCTGACCCTGGCGGCCCCCATTTGGCCCATTGGGGTTGGGGGCCCCCGGGTTCGCCTGGTGCGAGCCCATAGTAGTTACGCCATTGGTGGCAGCATCATGTGGCAGCTGCAATGCATTGCAGGTAATCCACAACCAAATTTGTTAATTGTCTTGAATATAGTACTAATATAGTGATGGGTTGTAGGAGGTATTTGAGTAGTTGTAATGAAATAACTTGCAATACTCTACCAATAAAAAGTTATACACCGTAAACCTCCGACTATAAGCCCCCCCTGAATATAAGCCCCGCCCCCTGAATACAAGCCCCGCCCCCTGAATACAAGCCCCGCCCCCTGAATACAAGCCCCGCCCCCTGAATATAAGACCACCAAATATAAGTCCCCCGAATATAAGCCCAGTAGCCCACTACGTTATTCAACACTGACATTGTCTTTTAAAGGGGCCCTACAGTCATTTTTTAGTTGAAAAGCCACCTTAAGTATTGTTTACATTTTTGTTATTGTCGCTACTGGACATGCGCACCACGGCATGCATGCGCCTTCCGGTGTGCGGAAGTACTCATATACAGGTGCTCATATCAACATATTTATATTATCGAGAAAAGGACGTCCGATGCCCGATAGATCATTGCTTC